GGTAGTGAAATCACTCAGAGAAGCCCAACGGAAGTATAAGTTATTTGCGGATAGAAAAAGGAGGGAAGGAGACAGGTTGGAGGAAGGGGACTTAGTATGGTTGAGCACCAAAAATCTCAAGCTGGATGCCCCGTCCAGGAAGTTATCTCCCAAATACATCGGGCCGTTTAGAATCTCCAGTAAAATCAATGATGTCACATATACATTGCAACTACCGAAGGTTTTGGGGAAGATACACCCAACGTTTCACTGTAGCTTGTTGAAAAAGTACCAAGGTTCACTGGATGAAGAAGAAATATAGTAGTGACGTGTATTTCCATTCCAGGAAGAAGAGGAGGAGGAGGAGGACGTCATGTCAGGAACCGGTTTCCAGGCCTTGAGACTTGGCGCAAAAAACCAGGATCCTGACATGGGATGCTGATAAGGATGTGCAGCTGGTGGCCTTGGGGGGAGGCAGTTGGCATTTGGCGGGGAATATTGCGCGGGATTCTCAGGTGGCGGGAAGGGGGAATTCAATTGTGAGGGAGGGTATATAAGGGTTGAACTGCGGCTGCCGGCCAATCCTGGCTTTCTTCGTGTATGAATGTCCAGCAGTAAAAGTTCCTGATTGATTACGGATTGGCGTCCTGTATCGCTATTGGGAGCGGCTGCTGTGAGCTTACACTGAAGGAGTTTCCGAGCGAGCTGAGCGGCGGAAAGAAAAGAACTACAGGGTGTGCGCGCGGGGCGCTTTTATGCCCTGCGAGTGGCTGGGCGGGGTTACTGCCAAAACTTAAAAGTTTTAAACTGGGAAGTTTTCCGTTGGAGCCTGCGCAGGCGCACATTCTCCATATGTGTGCATTCACAGAGGCCACGAAGAAAAATAATGTAATACCTATGCTACACTCCATATAAATTTAATTAAAATTCATTCTTTGTATTTTTAAAAAATCTTGTAACTTTACTTTCTGGATATCCTTCACATTTCTTATGATCTTCAAATTTGAATTAAATGTTGAAATTCCAATGGTATTATCTTGACTCTGTTCCTTGATGTCAATTATGAAAGATATAATCCAGCCTTTTTGAGAAAGTGATTTTGTAGCCACCTTAACCCACTTGAAGAACCCATTTGTCTGTTGTTATGTTTCCTGTCTGATAAAGCATAGAGCTCTTCTCTGTTCCTGTGAGCACTTCTTTCTTTTCTGTAAGCAGATTCTCCACTCATGACATACTCAGCAAATTAGATGAAGTATAAATTATATTTCATTCTGGAAATAGGGAAATTCTCAACCAGCTGTCAAGACAGGAGAGGATAAAATTGAAGGTGGGGAAAAAGGGAGGAACGGATGAAATGTTAGGAATTTTGGTTTTCTGCCTCGATCAACTGGCAGGAGAGAATATTTTATTGGTGGTGAATTGCTCCTTCAACTGTCCTGAGAGTAGGGAATTTAGCTCACCTCATCTGCAGCCTCCAATTTGGAATCAAATTGGCAGAAAATCTGCTCCAACTCCTTTCTGATAACATTGGCAAGGACATTCAGACGGCCTCTAGAAAACCAAAACCATATTTAGCAAGAAACTCTGCTCAGAGGCAAGATCCTTTGAAGTTATTCTGCCACATAGCTCCTTGCAGGAAAATGGATTATACAATTTCTAGGTGAAACAAACTCCTACCACTGCCATCACAATTTAGTAAGATCTCTATAGTCTTTGTGTTTCCCTCCACAGCAACCCTGTGTAATAGCAACTTGTCCTTTCCATTTTTTAAAAAATGTGTGCCAACGCAGAGCAATTGCCCCAAAATTACAAAAGTGGAGACTACAGCTAAGATGCCTCCTTAACGCAAGCCAGCATATTTTCAGAATGCTACACATTTGCTCTCTTGCAATAACCAACTGATCTCAAGAAGAAAATTACCTATGAGGCATTCCCATGATCACATAATCAACTCCCTTTTCACTTGACTTGTCAATTATTGTCTTTAAAGCCGGGATCAAAACCTCACAGCCTTCCAAGCCAAAGCGTTTTTCGGAAGACCACTTTCTATGCAGGAACTCTTCAAATCTGGAAGAAAGAAAATTAGCGATTTTAGAAGAGTCTTTGGTGATATTTTAAATACATTAATATCAACAGATATAAACTCTTTGTGTGATGGAGGTTTAGCACAGTTGGTAAATCATCAGCAATTATAAGATCTATCAACCAAAAGGTTGCAAGTTCAAAACCCCAGGTAGGCGTGAGCTGCCAACTGTCAGCCTAGCTCATTGTTTACCTAAGCAATTCAAAAATAGCTTTAGCTGTGATTAGAGAAATTAGGTACCGCTAAAAGCGGGAGAGGTGTTTTACGACGCCATAAAGAAAGAAGATCAGAAAATGCTGGGCAACCAAAAGGAAGGAGGAAATCCTGACGGCTTTTCATTATAGAGGATAGAGCAACAGCACCCCCTGGACTCAAGCCCAACCTTCCATGGCACCAAAAACAGCTGAAAACAAACCACCTCTTGTTCTGTCTGTCTGTGTATTGTCTGTACAAAGTGGCAATGAATGTTTGCTGAGCATATGTACTGTGATCCAGCCCTGAGTCCCCTTTGGGGTGAGAAGGGTGGAATATAAATAAAGTGTTATTATTATATTATTATATAGATCCCAGCTAATTTGTTGGGCTGTCTTGGTTTGTATCAGTAAATTTGCCCAGCCCTTTGACTGGGGAAAGGGATCCATTTTAGATTAGAGTTATTACCACAGGGATTCATGGAAGCAAAACATGTCTTTAGTTGGTCAGTGAGATCCAGACATGGACAGGCCATTTCACCACTATTCTCATCAGTGGCAGCTTGTGGAGTTTCCAGAGCCTTCAGCAAGTTGCCAGGCCTTAACAGGAGAGATCTCCTCTCAGACTCTGGTCTGATCACCTTGGGCATTGGGCACCACAGAGGTCCCTTTACCATAGAAAGTGAGCAAGGTAAACTTGCATCTATTTTTCTTCTCACTAATTATCTACCAGTAAGTGACTTCAGGCACAACTAGTTACCTTCAAACTTTTAAGTATGCACTTTGTTGTGGGAAAACCAAGATTGTGTCTGTGTGGAAATAGCCCCAAGACCAATTAATAAATTGTTAGTGTTTCTTTAAAGCAATAGTGTGGACATTGATTCTGTGGTGTTCCTTGCTCAAAGAGGAAGGCAAACCAGCATCTTCCAAGCTTATAGAAAGTTAACACACATGACTTCCGGTTGCTGGCTGCATGATGGAGGACGTGTCCCTAGGCACTCCGCTTGGGGACAGCTGGTTTTTGTTTGAGTTAGGGGTGATATCTCCTCCTCCGTTAGATGGACTGAGGTCTCGGAGGCAAGGAACCACTGAGCGATTCGGCCGGCGGTTTCTAAGAGGTATCCCCCTCAAGGGGATGCCCAAAAGACGCCCGGCAACGAAGCGCAGTGGGGGAACTCAAACCGCAGCAGGAGGAATTTCCTAGCCTCCCATTACTCCATCGCCCGGTGGGATAAAGATTCGAACGAAGAGAATCACTACAAACAGATTTTCAATACAACGCAATTTCTTTGGAGTGCAGCACCCGGATAACAGAGAGAGACATCGAAATACATAAGCTGCCAGACAAACAAGTACCCTAAACTGAGAGGTAACGGGCAAGGGGGGGGGGGAGGAGGACTATACATCTCAAGAGAGAAGACTACACAATTCAAAATCAAAATCAATCCGCAACGGATAAACCAATTAGCTAACTAGCTAATTAGCAAATTTAAGAAATCTCTCCTAACTATTTATAAAGGACCTCCACAGTTGGGTAGAGCGAAGATTAAGAGCTCCCTCCCTGGAAGGGGACAGCACAACCTGGAGAAAGTATTGCCACCGAGCGTTCCGCAGGGGATGCTCGGTGCAATCCCCAAGATGGTGCAATACCTTGGTAAAGCGGGCTGTGGAAGGCAAAAATATAGAATTGAAGGAGAAATTAAGGAGAAGCACTGAAAATACAGAAGAACTTTTCCAGAAAAAAGTCTGAATTCAAAAGAAAGAGAGAGAGAGTGAAGTCAAGAGAGAGAGAGAGAGAGAAAAGAGATTTTGATACCCTTCCCCCATCACTCTACCCCATAAGGAAAGCCTCTGGAAAAAGGGAAAAAAGAACTGACCTTGGAAAAGCCACACTCTGCCAACAAGGAAAAAAAAGGGAGAGAGAAGGGAGGACCCGACCTTGGAGCTCAGGAGCAGTGGTGCAGGAAACGTGGGAGGGAAAATAAAAATAAAGAGAGAACGAAGGAAAGCAAACAGAGCAAACAACGCGAGAGGGAGCAAAAAGCGCGAGAGCGGGAACCCGGAAGCGGACGGACGGGCGGATCAACCTCTCGCGAGAAAATAAGAGACCAGAGGGGAATTTACATCGCGAGAAGTGCAAACAACAGGGACATTGCCACAAGGGTGAGGGCGGAAGAAGGGCAAACCAGGAAGAAGAATAAATAAAAAAAGGGACTGTGACAAGCAAACAAGAAGCAGGCTGGAAAAAACGTAAGAGGACACAAGGGGATTAAAAGCGCTAACTAAGGGAGACCATTCAAAACAAAACACTCTTTCTCAAGGTGGAAAATAATAGGCCATAAAAAGAAATTAATAACAATTAAATAATAACAAATAATAATAATAATAATAATTTTAAAAAAAACTGAAATTGGACACTAACAAAGAAGGTAAATTCAAGAAAGAAAGAAAGAAAGAAAGAAAGAGAAGGAACATCACAATCCCCATAGTCGAATACATAAACAAATATAACAACTAAAATACCCATAATTCAATAGCATAACAACAATCAAACTCAAGATGCAGAACACAAAAGGAAGAGCAACGCCTCAGTTAGCACAAACCTCAAAGACCCAAACGAAAAAAGATTCCATAACAGAAGAGTCAGTCCTCAAAGAAATATTAGAAGACATCAAAAAAATCTCTGTGAAACAGGACAAACAACATGAAGAATTACAAGAAGAAATACAAAATTTAAAATCAGATCTTAAGGAAGACAAAAACAAACTACAGGAGGATGTGGACAAAATAAAAAAGGAAAATCAAAAAATAATAAAATCACAAGGGAAAATGGAATCCAGGATTGATAAATTAGAAAATTTAAATCAAAAACTTCAACAACAAACAGAGCTCCTCAAAAACAGGGAACTGGAATACCAACTAAGACTGAAAAATTTACAAGAATCAAAAGACGAAAACATCAAACAACTCTCAATTGAGCTGCTAGCCGACCTGCTTGATGTAGGTACAGAAATTATTGGGCAAGACCTAGATAGAGCATACAGGGTACCAACAGGGTATGCAAAAAGGAACAAGACACCAAAGGATGTAATAATCAGCTTTTGTAGAAAGAGCACAAAAGATGTAATACTAAAAGAAAATGCAAAAAACCCCAATCTATTACAAAGACCAGAGAGTGATCATTATGAAGGAAGTTACTTGGCAAACTTTAGCAAGACGCAGGAAATATTCCTTCCTAACAGAAGAACTGATCAAAGGAAAGATAAAATTTAGGTGGGAGAAAGTGGAAGGAATCACAGTCACTCTTAACAACACAAGGTACTGGCTGAACTCAGAGGAGAAAGCAAAAGCGTTCTATATTAAATCACATCAAAACAACAAAGCAAGACGCATCACAAAAGAAATTCCACGGAAACAAGGACAGCAAACAGACAATGCAACCAGCTGAGGATAATGATTCAGAGGAAGACGAGGAAAATAATGAATGCTGCAAATTACAGAAAGGACCAAAGGAAAGAGAATTAAAAAGATTACGGGAATTTTCCCCAGAAAATTATCAGTTAATGATGCCCCAAGAAATCACTCAGTGGGAGATGCAAGAAAACCTTCATGAATAGAGACCTAAGAATCTACTCGACTAACGTCAATGGTCTTAACTCTCTCAGTAAAAGGAAACGAATCTTCAACTACTTGAAACAAAAGAACCTAGATTTGATTGCGCTGCAAGAAACTCATATAATTAATAAACATATCAAGCTTCTAGAATATGGAAAGCTAGGGAAAGATTTCTGCGTGTCAGGCAATGAAAAGAAAAAAGGGGTAGTTTTATATGTCAAAAACTGGTTAAACCCAAAACATAGTTTTAAAGATACCGAAGGGAGGTATGTTGGTGTAACTATTGAAATAAAGAACCAAAAAGTTTTAATTTGTAATATTTATTGCCTGAATGGTCCCAAACTTAAATTTTTGAAATATCTCAAGAAACAAACAGGAGTTTCACGATATGATACTATTAGGAGATTTCAATGGAGTAGTAGACCCAAAAATAGACAAATCTTACAACAGTCAAAAGAAAATCCCCAGAAAAAAAATCAAGCCTCTTACCAAAAAGGTTCATATCGCAACTTGAGAGCCTAAATCTGAGGGACGTTTGGAGACACCACAATGGAACCGCTAGAGACTACACTTATTTCTCTGGAGGCATGAGTCGTGGTCATGTATAGACATGGCCTAGGCCACTAACTCAATATCACTTAGAATAAAAAAGATAATAATATTACCAAGAATATTCTCAGATCATTGCGCCATTGAGATGACAATAAAAGGAAATGAATTTAGATGGCGCCTAAAAGAAAACCTATTAAGAAGGGAAACTGACATTGAAAAGAATAGGAAACTACTAGAGGAATATCTTTACCTAAATAAGGGAGGGGAAACATCTAAAGTGACCCAGTGGGAAGCAATGAAGGCAGTAATGAGGGGCTATTTCATTCAACAGGAATCAATTAATAAAAATAACAGAAAAAGAGAAACAAAAAAATCATGGACAATCTAATTAAAGATGAAGAATCACTGAAAATAAATCCTAAAGAGAAAACACTAAAATTATGAATAGAATCATTAAAAAAAACAACGACAATTACTACAAACTGACAATTTAGAAAAACAATTGAAATTCTTAAAGGTAAATCACTTCCAAAATGCAAATAAAATAGGCAAATGGCTCGCAAACAAACTAAAAGAAAAAAACCAAAACCACTTAATTACAAAAATAAAATTGGGAGGAAAAATAT